ATCGAAAAATCCCAGGAATTTTTCGTGGTGTCCGTCCCTGTCTCAATACCCATTCGCTTCCATTGTGGACCTAGCCGAACTGGTGTTTTTCGGCTCTATTGGATTCGATCTCGGATCCCCTGGCAGGTAGACTGACACCTCAATTGCCTCGGCCTCAATTCGGCTGGCTTCAAATTAGGAATTACATAAATGGATTTTTCCGCCTATAACAAACCCTTCTCTGTAATAAACAGGTTGATATACATACATACATACACCCTGGCTGAAAAGTTAAATTATTTAAAAAGTACAGATGCTGAAGGAGACTAGAAGACTTTATAGTATAAAGCGTTTCTCAAAGTGGGCGATAACGTCCCCTTGTGGGCGCTGGAGGCGTTCAGGGGGTCAGTAGAAGGCTCAGTGATTAAATATGAGTTTTATTTCTTCTCGTTAAACATTCCTTGATCTCAGAAATAGGATATGTGTCACAGCCTATCTATCCTATCCATATAATAATGCATGTTTAATCATTATATTTGCAGTAACTGTTTTTAAGATATGCAATAGATTGTAATGTAAAAAGGTAAGTTAAAAATATGGGGGCACTAGATTTTTTTTAACCTCAAAGTGGGCGGTGATCGAAATAAGTTTGAGAACCTGTACTTTATACGGAAAACTGTTCCTATTTAGATGTTACAAACGTGAATAAAACCGGAAAACTTCACGTAGCCGGCCCGTCGGCCAGGCACGAAATTACGACTACAAGTATTCAGTGGCATTATCCACTCGTTACTGGTGTCCTATACAATTGTATTGGACCTTTTATTACTATGCCCACCAGTAAAGCGTAACGCAAAATGTATACCTTCAAACACATCAAATTCTGTCAACGTTCATAAAATAGGTAAATAATACGGTAGTGAACGCTACCAAAATTGCTGAAGAATCTAGTTGAAAAATGCTGAAGATGATTCTTCGTTGCAGGAACTTTTTATCATTAGTTGCCCCATACTGTAAAATCCGAGAGTTTTAAATCAGAGACCATTCGATACTGCCTCTAGCCTTTTTGGTGTAAGATTTATAGCTCTAGATTCACCGGAATACTTCCAAATACTTGTTTGAAGTCTTCAAAACTCTTGTATAAGTGTACAGTGCGCTCCAACTATCAACCTCTGTTTCAACAAAAACATTATTTGTTCCGTTCAAACTGTTCAAAAATTACAGTATTTTCCAGCCAGGATACAGGGTAAAGCATATACTGTATGTTTAAAACCTCCTAAATTTTAACAAACTTGCTCATTTTTTATTACCCAAACTTCTTTTCAAATCTGGAGATCGCCATGTTCGTCCTATCGTCTGCTTTTCAATTATCATCATCTAATAATCTTACGCCAATCGTTTTATAATAAAATGTTATAAATACTCTATTACCAAACAATTAACTATTTGTTCTCTATAATTACAGTAGACCCCCCCCCCTATAACGCTTAGATACGTTCCACGCTAATCGAATTTTACGTTGTAGGAATGATAAATACATGAGCCAATCGCAACCCGATAGGTGGGAACTTTACGGACTAAGGCTGTTCGAAAGGTTTTCTTCTATAAAATTAACCGATTCTAGACTAATTCCACTCAACATTTCCAAAACACGTATAATTTTTTGGGAGTAATCCGTATAAACTATGCTATAAACAAAAAATTATAGGATTACTTACCGAGTGTGTACCGTTCGACTACGCCGTTGCTTAAAGCTGGTTTTCATCGCGGAACAGCACACGAAACGACGGCCGCAATTTCTGATAACGAATTTTTGGCGGAAAAATAACTTTACCTTTGGAGACATCATTAATATAAATAATTTTTATGGCCGTTGAATAAGAAGTGTTTCTTTCACAAGAAATGTATAAAATTAGTGCTGTATTAGACTTACGGTACCTAATTTACATACTGTACAGACGATAATAAACTCAACTTACTAGCCTAAAATCTCCGTAGCGTGTTGCCAGGCGGCAGAAAGCATATATATAATTATAATAAAGTTACAATAAATTAAGTTAATATATAATTATATATACAGTACCTAATTTATATATAATTAATATATAATTATATGTACAGTACCTAATTTATATATAATTTATATATAATACTAAACAGACGATAGCAAACTCAATTTAGCCGCTCCGTAGCATAGCGCAGGGTCGGAGGAAAGTAGTTCGGCTGCTCATCCACTATTGGTCCATATTCTATCAATCTTGTCGCGAAACGACGTTACAGGAGATATTTTATACGAATGTTGCTACAATTTTACAGAATGACGTCAAATTCTACAGAATGACGTCAAATTTACGTATAAATGTGCACTATCTCAACTAATGCTTCAATCAGCTATGTTAATTTTAATGTTCAATAAATACACTCCGACATTTACGAGACCGGAAGAGTGCCGGATTATTGAAAGTTCGTACAATTTGATAAATTAACGGTTTGAACACAATAAAAACGTGAAATAGTAAAAACAATTGAGCACAAACGAATTTGACATCATAAAATCAACAGTTAATGATGTAGCAAAACGTAAGTTGTACTACTGATGGAAACATGGAGCGCACCGCCATAGCAGGTAAACAGCGTGGCAAGTTGGTGAATTTCCACTAAATTTAGTGTGAAGTGTAGCAAGGTCTATAAACACAAGGTCAAGACACGATACCGTGATGCATCGCGGCAGTCGCCATGTTGGGGCTCTTTTGGTGTGTACGGTGTTTCTAGAGCGAAGCTGATCGTTTGTTTGTTTTGATCTCAATTAGTTGGATTTCTTGTTATTTATATTTAAAATGTTTGGTGTTCAGCTCCGAATTGTAAAAATTCGATAGACAACAGTATATATAGCCTATAATTAAAGGCTTTAACTAAGTAGATTTTAAAATAAAAAGCTAAAATAAATAAAAAATAAAAAGCATAGCCATTTCCATGTTTTGGTATTTCTAGTCATCTAATCAGTTCGTCTGATTGTCAAAGGATTTATGTTTATAATTGGAATTGCAACTCTGCGAGACAAATGACCTCACGAATCTCATCCTATTATATGCATAACAATACACAAATTGCACTTTTATATTTTATAAAAAATCTGACACTATAAAGAATAAAGTTTATTTCACTTATCTGTTACCGATTTTCATTAAACAAATGTTTAAATTAATCTTGAATTAAAGGTAATTGTATCTGAAGTATTTCTTATTTTCTTAACTCTCAAATATAGGCACTGTGAGAGTTTTTCTGTGGGAAACAAGAAGCATCACAATTACAGAAAACTAATTCTTGCAGGCAAAAATAGTACACCCATTAGACTTACACGACACAGGACTGAATCTAATGCATTACACAAAACTCAGAAATTATCATGGCTCAGAAGAATCTCCACGGTAGGCACCCTAACGATCTCAGCCAGCATCGTATTGACAGAACTGCGCCAAACTGCTAAATGATTTATGGAATGGTTCATAATTACTATACAAGACATGGTCATAAATACAAAAAACTACATATAGCATATCTTACAAGACAACACGCCCACCAGTGGCCAAGCGGTCTTCGTATCCTGAACACTGGGAGTTCGGTTGTGGCTTCGCAGCCTCACTCGGACCTGTTGTCCACGTGGAGTTTTCCGGGTTTTCTCCACGTCTGCAACACCTAAATAGGGGCCAGTTTCCCTTAAAAAGACCTCCCGGAAGGCATCCCACTAGGCAGATCGCCAAAGTGTTGAGTTGCCATAACTTAACAAACAAGACAATACTCATAGGATTGAATTACAGTATTTGTATATGGCAACGTGACTCGTGGGCGATCTGCCGAAGGGTGACCAGTTGGTGAGGCGCGTACCCACAACCAACTACCAGTGGTCAGTGGTTTTATCCGGTGGGCTTATAACATTCATAGACAATACCTGTAGGAAATAAAACGAACCACATCAAATAGCAAGCTTTTAGCACAGACTTACTACATCGACGTAACCAAAAGCTTTCACATGAACACAAACACACCTCAGTCATAATCACAAATAAAACAATCCATCAAAACAGACCAAAAATCACATTCGTTTACAAACAAAATCAGAAATAGCTTTCCCACCCACAACATACAAAATATAGCCTACACACTAAAAATTAGTAAATACTCAGAACTCGCCCTCAAAATAACGCATCTGTGGAGAATGAATGAGGTTCTTATTGTGCCAGTAATGCTTTCTTAATAAGTATCACATCACGTACACTACACAAAAAATCTATACACGTTTAAAGCTTCACAACAGAAGGTTGCCATACCAAACACGTCATATAGTCAGGAATTTCTTAAATGCAGATACATACAACTTTTTTATTGTAGTTATCCCTTGACTAAGATCTGGCATAGAACCAGGTTCCGGTATAAATGATCGGCAGGACACACTCCAACAACACTATAATAATAACGTCCATTGTATTTTACCCAAACTGAAAAATTCCTAATATGATTTAATTCTCTACATTAACTCTCCAGCTTAGGCCTTTAGTTCCCAACTGATAAATTTAATATTTCAGAAATTTCTGCCATTAATTTGCAGCCCATTTCCAAAATATTAATATAATCAACAATTATTAAGCATTTAGGGTATGAATTTGCATCTTGAGAAAATTGAGTATCTAAAATTTTTATGCAAATTAGATAAATGTTAAAGCATAATTTTGCAATTGCTAAATAAATAATGTTAAAAAATATAAACTTTCTTCATATTTTTAAATTTTTAAGGCTTTCCGGCAATATATATTTTAATTTTTTAAATAAATAAATAAAATATTCTTGTTCTTGAAAGTAGAAAGAAAATATTCTTCAAAATGTATCGTTATTGTTTTAAATTTCGAGCTGTTATTTGTCGAACAACGAGGATAAGTTTCGTAAATAGTAATTTATGAACTCGAAAGGTCATTTACTCTTATGACGTCACTCTTTGAATCCAATGTTTCTTATTCAATATATTACACGAAGAAAAACAACAGGGTGCCACTCCAAGCCAACAGTCTGAAGTGCTCCTTCTAAGAATTAGAAGCTAAAGTAAGTTCTCCTTTATTATTCCATAATATCGAACCTTAATAATACTTTATCTTTTTCACGAGGAATAATAAAATACAATGAAAATCGTGGAGCGTGGATGATAGAAAAAAGTCTTTAGCCCCGTAAATGATGCTTTTCTGTGCGGAAATTTAGGATTTTTCAATTGTTTTTGCAGAGATTAGCTTCGAGTAATGTCTACTTTCGAGCTGCTGATACTTTCCAGCTTCATCTGGATGATTTCCGGACGGGAAGAGATCGTCTGCGAGACTTTGCCATCATCCATACACGTCACGAAAGAGGAGTATGATGAAACGGGAAATTTAGTACGAAATTGCGAAGGTATGATTGGGGTAAGCAAGTGCGAAGGAATATGCAGCTCTCAAGTTCAACCCAGCGTCATTTCTCCTGGAGGATTCTTAAAAGTACCATTAATAATCTTCTCTTTAATATTTTTTAAGTTGCTCTATGAAACAATATAGTTTCTTTCTTCCTGTAGGATTGTTATTGCTGTAAGGAAGAGTGGATGAGGCATCGTGAGATTCTCTTGACAGAATGTTACGATTCGGAAGGAACCAGATTATACGGAGAGCATGGCACAATGGTGATCGAATTAAAGGAACCGGAAGCCTGTTCGTGTCAGAAATGTGGAGCTTGATGTCGATAGTATTCTTTTCTTTTCGTTTGTTTGTTTTTTCCTGTCAAATTTTGAATTTTGTTCGCGAAATTTATTATATGAGCTTGTGTACTTCATAAATTTTCAATAAAATTCACTTAATCCAAAATTTTTCTGCTAAATATCTCGATTATTGAAACGAATTGTTAGTTTTTATTAAATCAGTTTTCCAAACTAGCGTAAAGAAAGCATTTCAGACCCTCTAAAATTTATACAAAACGTTAAATTAGCTTATTAAACAATAAAAATTTAATTTAAAATATAAATTTCGATTTTTTTTCAGTTAATTTATAAGGAGCACCAGAAGCAAAAGCATGGCTGGTTGCCTCAGCTGGTTATTTATTGATCCATCCTCTCATATACACATTTATTATTATAAAAATCTTAGAATTTAAGTAAAAGATCAAATTTTTATATATTTTATTCTGAGAGTTCTGTAAAGAAATCACAGATTAAGTACTATATACATCACTACAGACATTCAATATAATTTATTAAGAAAAATAAAATTTATCTAAATTGTTATTCACATATTTCTATCTTTAGTAATATATAAAACCTTATTGAAGCATCAGCTATATTCTTTATTATCATTTATATTATTACCTCCTTAGTCTTCATCATTTATATTAATTTTTAACAGTTCAGAAAATTTAAAAAAGAATTTAGTGTTTTATTTTATAATTTAGCCACAACAGTTTAGCAGTTATCTTTATATATTTTTATTATAATAATTTCTCTGGCGGAATCGCCCTTGGACACCTTGTAACTCCTTTTGGCATCGCCTTCCCACCGTTTCTATCAGAAAACACTTTTTATCACCCCTTTTGCCTTTTATTAATTCTCCCAGCATGATTGTCTCTCCTACATATTACTCATTTAATGTGCAGTTTGCCTTGAAGCAAGAGAGTCATAAATATACCTTCATCAGTAAGTTTAATTTTTCCACTTATTGACTAACAATTATTTGATATTGTAATGTTAAGTGTATATATTTTAACTTAGAACAGTTTTAATTTCTATTATAGATCTTTTGTATTATCAGTAATTAGAATCCTAATGAATATTTCTTAGCTTTTAACTTATATAACCATTTTACATACAAAATTCTATCAATATTGTAGTGATGCTCCTTGTCCAAGATTGTTAAACAGGAAATCAAACTGAAAAAATTAATTTAAAATATTTTAAAATTAATTATAATTATAAAACATTAATCACCTCTTTCATTTGATTGAAATTAATTAATATGCAGGAGAAAACACACATATATTTTGAATTTATTATAGGATTCTTCTGTGATTTGATTAAAACTGATAGATTCTAGTTTTCAAAAGCACCTTTCTAATTTATTTACTACTTTATTTCTTTTAGAAATTTGAAAATAATGTCGACTTTATTTGTTAAGTACTGTTTAAGCCTTCATTATAGTTTAATTTTACTGATTATAATGCCGTTTGGATCAAAGACGCGAGCGGACGAATGCTACCTTCGTCCCGTCATTCATGTGCTCCAACATCCCGGATGCGTACCCAAACCTATTCCCTCTTTTGCATGCCAAGGGAGATGTTTCTCTTATGTTCAGGTATGTTTATTCTGTTTTAATTATTTTGACTGGCATGTCGTAAATGTCACTTTCTTCCCTCCTAGGTTTCGGGATCAAAATTCTGGCAAGTAGAAAGATCATGCATGTGTTGCCAAGAGGTGGGTGAGAGAGAGGCAAGCATCGGAGTGTTCTGTCCAAAATCACTTCCAAGATTTAGAAAAATCAACACGAGAGCACCAGTCGAGTGTATGTGCCGTCCCTGTGCCACCATGGACGAGATAGTCATCAAACCGCAAGAGATAGCACGCCTACTGGCAGAAAATCTTGATGACTTATCAATTATTTAATAACCATTTAAAAACTATCTTTGATATGTTTTTNACATCAGTTGTGCAAACAGGAAAATAAATGCATTAAACTATTTATTTATTATTATTTAATAGTTCTTAATTAATAAATCGTAAATGTATTTATCCCTTAACATTTTAAATCAATATAAAAAGTGATTTTTAAATAATCTAATCATCATTATAAAAATATAAATTTCAAAATTTAGACTACAAGCACAAAGAAATTAGGTTCTAAACATAATTTCTTTGCTGGAACTATAGAAAAGGTGTTGTATTCTGAACTTGTTGTTCCAGTTAATTAAGTAAATATTTGTTTATAAAATAATAATATAAGGAGAACAAATAATAACATATTTTGAAAAGAAATACTTTGCCTTAATTTAAAATAAACTTTATCAACGACTGAAGTGATTAAGGCATCCACTACTCCAGGGAAAGAGAGAGAGACACTGCCAGGCCCACCACTCCAGGGAAGGAGACACACTGGGGATTTTTTACAGGGTCTATTGAGTCCAAATCTCTCGCTGCTGGATGCCTCTACTTCAAGCTTGGCCAAACCCGTGATAGGTATAAAGAAAATCAATGCTCACAGGGCAGAAAGAGTTAAATGAAAAAATTTGCATTATCAAATATTATCTATAATATCAGTCAGTCTTAATATAAAATAGTTTTAAATATTAGTGTAGTTTATAAAAAAGAACTTTAATTTATAAATGTTTTTGATTATAACAAAAACTAATTTCGTAAAATTTACCATGCATTGAAATTAATTTATTTATATAAATTATATACATAAATACAATAGCAAATTCAAAAATCTTTAGAGAAGGATGCATAAAGGAACGAATATGCCTTACAAAATTTTGTACTCTCAACAATACTTGGGAAAAACTCACAGCAGGGGATGCAGCAGTACCCTGCATTCCCCTAAATCTGCCACTGTATATATTTATTATAAATTTTAAATAGCTGAGAATGATTAAAAATTTACAAAAATAATTCCTGATTTCTGCTTTTCACATAACATTTTTACACTTTGTTAATATGCTAATTCAGCAAAATATTTGTTTTGTTTTATTTGATTTTCAATCTGAATTATGAGGTTGTTAAAACGGAATACAGTATAAACAAATAAAACTGCAAATATATTGAAACGCAGAAACGTGTCAAGCTCTTCGTTTAAATGTAATCTCTTTGTATGCTACTCAGCCGTTCTAAAACATAAATTAGTGTCTCGTTCACGATAAAGCATTTTTACTTTTTTAATCTCAAACATTTTTAAAATTTTGATATTTGATTCTCAATAAAGTAAACAGTAAAGCTTTTTCATTTTTAAATTCCTATTTTAAATATTTTATTGCTTCGACTATATAATTATGAGACAGTAAGTATGCTTAACCATTCGGAACAATAGTCTTTGAGCTTTCTACCGAAGCATTTTAAAAATTATTAGTTATGAAATCTATATTTTTGTGGACTCAATTCCAACTTTCCCGGAGTGACAAACCGTCACCTTGGCTAAGCCTGTCGAGACGATACCCGATTTATTAACTGAGAATTGTCGAATTATCACTAATAAATTTAAGCGATGTACATTGTTATTAATTCATTAACATCTTCCTCTTTTTTAATGAATATAAATGAAATCTGATATATTATATTTATTAATTTGATTGTATTCTGCATTTTTATTGCTGCAATCAAATAAATGTAACAAATCCATAATGTATATCATTCTACAACATTCAAGTATCTCATATAATGTTCTTCATTACTTAATTTTAATTAACTCCTTAGCTTAATTAATAATTTAATTAATATAATATTTCATTATCCTAAGAATAAACTGTAATTAATTAATTAAGGGACTGAATGATGATAAGTTTATATTATATACAATAATCTTTGAATTGATTTCATATAATTTATTTACATTTTAAAAGTAAAATAAGCATAAATTATATCAATATATATTGAAACATTATATAATTTTATTTTACCAACAATTTTAATTAAATTAAATTCAATTAAATTTAAACTTTTATAAAATTAGTATAAAATAATTTTAGAAAAGTTAAGTCATAAACTAATATATTCCTTCTCTTTTCGAACTAGATTATTTTTTTACTTCTGCTTTCTCCGACAAAATGCTTTAGGAGGTCTTGTTATTCTCTACATCCCACAGTTTCTACCACAAAACACTTTTTAGCTCTTTTTATCATTCTATTAATTCCCGAACGTGGAAAATTCTCTTACACAATATTAGCAGCTTCAGTTTGTATAGGAGGAAGTAAAGTTGCAGTCTTTAAGGTGAGGATTAATTTTCTTGGATTTTTCCATGTTTACTATAATTAGTGATTCTCTGTTTAAAGTACAGGTTAATTATCATTAAATTCTGCTTAAATTTCATTTAGCATTTGTTGTTTTTTTCTTAATCTTAAATTAATCAACATATTTTTGAGTTTATTCAAAATTCAGATAATTCCATTACAATAGAGAAAAATCCCTTATTTATTTTAGAGACAAAAATGATTGGTAATCATTTGTTTTTCCAAATTTATCTCTATACGTTTATTGTATTAATTGGATCGATTCGAGCGGATGTGTGCAATCTACGCCCAGTTATTCACATTCTGCAACAGCCGGGATGTAGATCTAAGTCAATCCCTTCCTTTGCGTGTCAGGGAAGTTGTTCTTCTTATGTACAGGTAATGCACAATTTTATAAAATGATACTTTCATACAGTAAAAATCTCATAATGTGTTAATTAGGTTTCAGGATCAAAATTTTGGCAAGTGGAACGATCGTGCATGTGCTGCCAAGAGATGGGAGAGAGGGAAGCTAGCATACGAATCTCTTGCCCCACATCTATTCCAAGATATCAAAAAATCATAACAAGAGCGCCGGTAGAATGCATGTGCCGTCCCTGCACCGCCATCGACGAAACGGTTATTAAACCTCAAGAAATTGCTTTACTTTTGGCAGAAAATCTTAGAGAATTGCCAATGTTGTCGTGAATTATAGTTTATGGGCTACAATATATTCTAAATAACTATCTGTTATGGCTATTTTAAATTTGTTTTCTGGAAATTTTAATAATAAGTTCTCGGAAATAATTATAAGTTTAATATTATGGAGTGGCAATGGAATAATTTAAAATAAAATGAATTATTAATATCACATTATTTTTAATTCAATATTAAGTCTTTGACAATAACATTATTATTTAAATGTCAATAAAAGAACACATACAGAGAAAAATATATAAAATATATACTTGTTTCAATGCTATAATTACAAACTTTTATCTTTTCTTGATTGTTATCCATAATTCTTCCTCCGGTCTCGTTATAAGTCGACTGTAAGGTGTAACCATTTGGCCTTCTACCAGACTTAACTTAAAATTTCTACAAATCATTGTTAATATAGTCATAACTTGAACGTAAGTCCATTTATTTCCTGGGCATTGGCGTTTTCCTGCAAATCCAAATGGCTGAAATGCTAATTGTTGGCGAGCTTTAACATTTTCAATATTAAATCGTTCGGGATCAAACCTAAATATAGAATAAAAAAGTTAATCTTTGATAGATATAAAGTATACAAAACATCATTAATTAACTTACATCTTTGGAACAGCCCAATGCTTACTATCTTGAAGTGTTACACCAAGAGCATGAATTACAGGTGTCTACAAATTTAATGAGAACAAAATTTATAATTAGTAACAACAAAATTTTATTTTATTCTTAGAAAATTATCAGAATTTCAATTGGATTTTAAGCAACCTTTTTAGGAATAATATGACCCCCAATTTCGACATCGGTATCTAAGACTCTAGCTGTCCAGGGTTCTACGTTAGCCATACGAAGACATTCATTTAATACTTGTTTGAGATAACTATTAAAATATAAATATATTTAAAAAATTATATTTAAAATTAGAATAAAGACATATAAAATTCTACCTTAGCTTTGACAAGGCTTCATCCGTTACAGGGGAATTATTTATTAAAATATTATCAATTTCTTCATATACTTTTTCCTGAATGTCGTCATGAAGTGCCAAAAAATATATTGTCCAAGTAAGGACTATTAAAAAAAATATTTAGTAACTTATCAAATTAAAAAATAATTAAATTACTAATAACAAATAAAATGGCTTACATGCAACAACTGAATAATATTTCAAAACAATAATTATAGCATCATCGTTAATATTTTGTTCTAGTGTACCAATTTTCCTCAGACTATTAAAGATATTCTCTTCATCATCTTTGTCTTCTGCAGCTTTAATCATCAATTCTTTTAAACGTTTAGCAGCTATAAAAGTGATTCATTATTATTCTACATGTATACAAACTTTAATTATAATAGAAAATCTTCAAAAAATTTTCAATTAAATACTATAAATAACAAACAATAAAGAAAGAAATAAAGATAATATTATTTTTTATTATTATTATTATTATTATTATTTACAAACCTTCCTGGAACTGAATATCTTGTGGGCTATTCTCTTCAGGAATGGAACCACCTGCTCGAGCTTCTAATTCTGTCCAACACTGTGTACAATATATAATATGACATCAGGTTGATATATATTTTTACCTAATACAATAAGAAATGTGTAAAATTTATACATCTAAACTTAAAAATAGTTAAATAATACAGTTCTACATAGCATATTTTACTCGAGAAATTAACTGTAAACAAACAAATACTTACAATTTCAAATGTTCTGCTAAAATCTAACACACATTTATCTTCGTGAAAAGAATTTCCAAACAGAGTTTTTGAAAAAATTTTCATACAAAGGGCTATCATATATTTATACACAGGAATGTGCTGCTCGGCAGATAAACCTTTCCACTTTTCTACTAATTCTTCAGTTAGCTGGAATATAAATTTACACATATGTATAATTAATTGTACAAAAACACACAAAAAATATTTGTTTAATATATTTTAAATTCTTACTACCTTACAAAGAACTTCTAATTTTTTAAGGCACGTCTCATTTAAAACCTTTTCTAATTCCTTATGTTGCTTTCTTCCTTCAGCACCATTTACGATAAGCACACTTTTTTCGTTAATTATTGGTTTGTACATGGAGAAAAGCTCGACTAAGTAATAAAAAAGTAATTTCTATTTATTTTGTAACTCTAATTAATTTTGTAACTCTAATTACAGTAATTCATTCAAGTTAATTAAAAACAATACCAGGTTTGTCAAACACATGTTTATGTTGCTCGTATAATTCTGGATCCGCCAAGCTGACAAATAGTGTCGTTCCCATATAGAATGACGATATAGGTCCGTACTGCTTATGAAGTTTCTCCAGAAATATCTGCAAACTTCCAGCTTGTAAAATGTCTGGTAAGTTTCCTTCTCTGTAAATAAATAAATTTTGTGAAACAATTTTGAAATTTTAAAGTAAGTTTGGCATATCAAATACTAATTACGTACATTTTTAATATCATTTAACATTTAAGTGAAATTATGATATCTTAAAATTCACTTGATGATAGATAAAATTTGAAATGATGAGAAAGCTTATGTTTAAAATGTATGAAAAAATCAAAGTTAAATATTTTTATTTATCAGAAACATTTGAAATATTTCTGTGCATATAAATAAACCATTAATAACTGTAAAACCAAGTTAAATTGATTTTAGAACTTTTAGTAATTGAAAACATTTATTAAAAATGTAAAAAATAAACATAGTTAACTGTCTTTTTCTGGCAGAACGAACACGAACACACACCAACTACAATGTCGATGGCAAACCCTTTTCTGAAGGATTAGAATTGAATTTGAAATTTACTAACTGTAAATCACAGGCCGAATATTTAATTTGTGTAATTAAAAAAAGAAAACAAGCTATATAAGTGTAAAGATGATGATAAGATTATAATGGAAACAAATATTTCATTCAATAGGAAATCTTCCGTTGTTTATACCATAATAATTTTTCTATCCAAGGCTCATAATTAGCTGTCTTTGTGACTTTTCAGGATAACCTTAGGACCCCGCTTTCATGCTGCACATGCAAAATTTTGAAATCTATCATATTTCTTATAATTTATAAAAGCCTTAATACTTTTTAAACATTGTGGGTACTTCAAAATCATCATGCTGGTCATAAGTTTGCTATCACCAGACTATATCATAAAGAATTTATATTAAAAAAAAATTACTTTTGTCGTTATCACGGACTCTTTATTGGAAATTTTAGTTTTCAAATTTCTTTTAAAACATTAATTATTTTTATAAAGTTTTTCTTCATGGTATCGAAGAAAACATACAGATATATTTTACATAAAATGATGTGACTTAGAAATTTAGCAAATTTATTTACAAAGAAACAATGTTAAAATTATATTTTTTAATACTTGAAGACAAGTTCGCCCAAGTAGGGATCATCATTTTTATTTTTTGCATTCTAGACAATACATTTCCGGCGACCGGCCTTCCTTTCTAGGCTACTAGCCGCCAAAAAGTTTAAAAAAGTCCTTTTAAAAACACAAAAATTTCCAATTAAAAACACAAAGATTTTCTAAAATCAGAACTGGTGTTATACGAACGTCTTTCTTGTTACCATCTGTACTTTCTCGGGGGTGTTTCGGCCTTTTATCTACAGAGAAGAGAGCGCTGGAAAATGTAGATTAATTAAACAAGTTCCCCCTGGTGACGATATTTTAGTCGTAATTCGTAATTTTTTTCATCCGATGGTTAAAATTATAACTATTTGCAAATATCTTAATTAAAAAGCTAATCTACACAACAATTCATTTCATCCCTTTCATTCATTTGATTAGGAAAGAGCAAGATTTATATCTGATGATAGATAAGTGTTTTAACATCAATTATAAATCTTGTTTGTAAATACCTGTATTTGAATGTCAGTTTTAATTTTAATGCTGTATGTGGGGTGTCCATAAAGTCTATGTCAAGTTTTAGAAATTTATTTTTAAAACAGTGTGAAATTTAGACACAGTTTGTGTGTCAAAAGGTAGACAATATAAACAGTTTTACTTAGTGTATTGGTACATCACTACACATGCCCCTTTCTTCACCTGTAGCATATGTAGGTGATACTCAATTTCCTGTGGCATTCGTCAGCATGTCTGATGTCCTGCTGGAAAGTGACGAGTTGCATTTTCCAGCAGGACAATGAATTGCCACATTGGTGAGTAATCATGTCCACTTTTGCTGGATGCAATATTTCCCAAGTTAGGATAAGTTGGGACAGTCCATCCCACGCTCAGCTGACATAACACCTCTCAACTTTTTTCTGTGTATTATGTTAAGAAGAGAAAGAGTATGCATCAAACACGTACAAGATGCAGACATGTCAAAGCAAGCAGAACAAGTGTGATACCATATTTGGTATCACACTTGCAGAAGTCTTTGCAAGTGTGATACCAAACATGTTTATGAACACATGGTGAGAAATTAATTATTGCCTAGATGTGCTGCGGGTGACAAAAGATGCACATATGGAAGTGTATTAATACACTGACTAAAACTGTTTGTGTTTGCTTACCTTTTGATACAGGAATTGCATCTGTAAGTTTCACACTGTTTTAAAAATAAACTTCTAAACTTTAACATAAACTTCATGGACATACTATATTTATTGCAGACTAATATAATATAATAAAAGAAACACAAAACAATATATAAACTTTTGATACTAAAAGTACTTTACTTATTTAAGATTCACTAATTATAAAATATTCAAACATAATAAGTGGAACATACTGGAAATAACATTTTAAAACTTTAATTTTTGAAATGTAACATTTAAATTTGAAAAATGCTTTACAGGCATAATCTTTATTGTATGCCAATAAACCAGTTTTAATATATTCTTGTTAACTGTTAATATAACTGGAGCAATCATTTCAATAGCTAATACACTAGTTAAGAATGATTGAAAGTATCTGATTAAGAATGATTAAATGCAGAGTTCTGTATAATTTCTATAATTTTATTTCATTTGTTACTGTTAATCTTGAGGTTGGAAAGCTTAGAAATAGATTAAATGTTAACAAATTACACTATCAAGTTTTCTGAAATATTTAATTAATTTCCAAGCAAGTAAACAATACTTCATACGTAATAAGATGAAAAATAGCAGATTATACAGGGCCAGAAATTTATAAAGTGAAATAAAAAAAAAAAACCTGTCTTTTTGGTGTCAAACAGACAAAAATAAAGACAATAATGAATAATAAGAAAAAACTTCCTTTAAAAAAACACTTCATACTGCTTATATTAACTCAAGTACATAAAATTTAGTGAATGCACAAATGTTTCCAGCCACTTTATAGGGCGTTCATCAGGTAAGAGAACAGTTTTGTACATTGAATAGGACACAAAATATTTAAAAATCAACCATTCCATACAGGCAATAATGCAGTATACAAATTACAAGATAAGTGATCAGAACTTCCTTATACTGTTTTTGTTCATTTTTTTTATTCTTACCGATTTATTTGGTATGTGCTTTAACAACTAACATAAAACTGAATGAAATAATTATACATATTCGTCTCCACACACCGGAATAACTCTTACCTTTAACCTTGTAACTGGAGTGGTTGTGTTATATGTCAGCAAATGTTTTTGATGCCCTTTCTGGGCTCTTCCTCAGATAGATGTTAACAGAAGAAATGAAAATCACAAATAATGAATGTCATGTTTAAAATTAAGCAATTTTAATTTTTAAAAATACTGAAGGCATTAAAACAGAACACCACTGAAAACTTTTTACTTTAAACCTAATTTGCATATTGAAAGTATAGAAAATGCTTTTGTATTATGAAACTAAACTGAACATGTGAATGACATGCAAACATTTGGCCAGAGCTTTAGTGGGAGTGCCAAATTGAAAGAGAATGTGAGGGATTTTTTTGGGGGAACGATCAAGGTTCTGCTTGTGATAAATTTTGCATTTCGGCATCATAGTAGAATATTGCATATAAAAATTGTAGTTCTGATAATGAAATTAAAAGTATTCTGAGAACATTCAAAACTATGAAAGTTTTATAATTACATTTTTAATTTTTGTATATTACCATTAAAAAATATTCACAAAACATTAAAAAGTAATGCTAAAAATTCCAAATTAATGGATTTTATTTAATTGTGTCCAAAATAATATACAAATTATGTTTGTGGACATATTTCTAATTTATTTGATATATTCATTATGGTAAAATCTTAACAAAATTATTCTGTACAGTATAATGACAATTAATTCAGACACTTACTTTGGATCGGAAGGATCCATTCCCGGAATGGTAGTTTGGCTCTTTGAACCCTACAAAAAGAATTATTAATAATTATTAAATTCAACTATTCAAACAGGAAGTACATAAACAAACACTACATAATATCTATCTGGATATTATGGATCCAGATGGATACATAATATCTATCTGGATACTGGTTTTGTGTGTAGTGCTTATAACTATTAAAGTAACAACTTTGCTATACATATTCAATAAACTTTTGTAACTTTTTATGATCTCATTTGAAAAACTACCATGATTTAGATTTGAGTCAATTATAACACACCTTTTTTGTTGCCGAGATAGTTTAGTGTCACAACAAGGAATTTGGGAGTAAGACTCAAATATAACATCAGGAAAGGTTCAAACACAACAGTACTTTCCCAGATGGTGGAGACCAAAGACTCGATAGTAAAATGGGTTAAAGTGAACATTGTCAAACCCTTGCACTCCCCAACATTAGCAAGGACTGAAGGCCTACCATCAGCTTGGAAGTTTATAGTCAAAAAGTTTGCCATAAACTCATAATTTATACATTAGTTTATTGTTGCATGTTCTATCAATTATACCTTAATAATATATTTTAATGTTCAAAGTAATATTACTGGATCATTATTTTTATTAATATATCTGAGTTAGTTTTTTATTTTATTCCATATATATATATTTTTATAAGTTATTCTTATGTTATTTTCTTGTTTTTATTCCGTTATTAATTTTTTAAATTAAAATGTATGTATTCCATCTTATGGAATGCAGATGTTCCAATCCATTTCAACCTGAAGATGACCTATAAAATAGGTTGAAAACGTTAGTTTTAAATAAATAAAACTATCTTGGCAACGAAAAAGGTGTGTTATAATTGTCTAATTGTTTGCCGAGCATGTTCTGTTAAATAGATTTGAGTCTTCAAATTCATAGAAACTATTACAGGTTAACATTTGAAAATTCGGCCACTGATAATCAGGTTTCTTCAGATTTCCAGCATGGATTTTTGATTGCATTTTCAAATTTACCACATTGGTATGCCACTGTTTTCTGGAGGTGCCTAACTAAAATTCTACAGAACTGTTTTATTTAGTTCATAAACATTAAAATTTCATTTGCTTTTAATTTAGTGTTCAATTTTCCTTCTTTAAAAGATTATACAGGTAGTCATTTTCTGTTAAATATATATAGCATATATAACCATAAAAAATCCAGCACTCCTCAGATATGGAGGTTGTTGGATTTTTGAATGTCAACCTTTATTGTGTTACCTGCACTAATTAAAAATTCAGATGTCTTAAGTTTATACATTTATTATTACAGGGTTTTTCTGTTGACCATATCTAATTTTGTGGATGAATTTTGGGACATGAAATGTGAGTGTAGTTCTGTAGACCAGGAGTCCCCAAACTATGGCCTCTGATAAGGCTTTATCTGGCCCACATTACTTCTCGACAATTAAAAAAAATTGTGATTTAAAGAAATATTTTACTTGTGTTAACAAGCTGAACTAAAGCCAGGGAGTAAGCAACAGGGCCATAGTTACTTAAAAACAGAGGTCCCATTTTCTTAGAAAATCCAAAACTTGGCATTTATTATTATTCTACTTTGCTTTTGTCAAGTTTATTATATATATTAAAGGAAAAAAACAAAGTTTTCTTACCTGTACTTCTCAAAACAAACAATATTTGTAAAGTACTTTTTTTGTGTTCAATGTATTTTTGTAATTTTTAATAACGTTCTATGATTGTTGATCACTTTCCTCATGTTTTTTGAGTGAGATGGAGATGGAAATGAAAGTTATGTGATTAGCTTCACTAAGTTCATGTAGAACCCAAACATCAAAATTGTTAATGTAACAAATTTGATGCAGATGATGTTGCTCTTCCACACTCAATTTTGATATTTGAAGAATATCTGAAATCTCTCGTGTTGTATGACATGTATTATCATTGACTAATTCTTTTATTTGCTTGCCATTAATCTCAACTGACCAATGTGATACATCTTAAACAGAAAAATCTCTGAAACAAAACCTCGTAAACCACATGTTCTTTCACAAGTAAACCTAAACTCTATATTACAACACATTTATCAGGTATGATTTTAATAATTTCCAACTGTGACCATAAAAAATTAATATTTGTGCAGAGAACAAAAGGAAACATATAAATGATATGTATAGAGAGATGTACAGGTGTTCTCCCCAAATATCCCTAGTTTTAAACTGTAAAACCGATTTGCTCAGATATTTGAATAAAACATGACATAGAATGTCAGTCAATATCAAAAGTTTCACACGCATAGACTTGAAAGGACCACCATTGCCACGCGATGGCAATCTGGACCTTGCCGAGCATGATCTAGACCAGTGGTTCCCAATTAGTTTTTCCTGCATACCGCTTCAAGAAAGAGCTCAAACTCGTGTACCCCTTATAGCAGAAATTCATATTAATCCATACTGATATTATAAATTAGAAGGTAATTCTGCCTGTCTGTCTGTTACCTTTTCACATCTAAACCACTGAACAGGTTTTAATAAAATTTGGCACAAAGATAGCTTACATGTTGGAGATGGACATAGGCTACATTTTACTGCGAGAAAATATTTTACTCCCACGAGAAAATTTGATATAATGGGGCAAAGCTGTGGGTAGACAGCTAGTGATAAATAGAATAAGTTGTATTTTTTACATTTATTACCTTTAAAATACAATTCTAATAATAATGAAAATAACATAAGGTTATTTAATTTTAATGCGACAAATGTACACAGTTTTCTTTGCACAACTTTATAAAATCTGGTTACTTTTTGGTCAGCTTCAGTCTCAAGTCATCTTTGAGTTGAAGTAGGTAACAATGTTTAGTTTTCATGTTTGTCATGGCCGAAAATCTGCTCTCGCAGAGGTTTGTTGTGCAAAATGGTAGTAAATATTTTATTGCCGCTTCGCTGACATGATAATAATGTTAACTCTACAATTTTTGTTTCTTGCGTAAGAATTTCATTTAGGTATTGTCACAAATGCATTTTTTTTGAAAATATTTTTAGTTATAAATAAACGAATTTGTGCATTCGACATCATGTTGTAAATTGCCAAATTTTTGATGGTCCATCCATTATGTTTTTGATTGCTTCATCTCATGCATTTAAATTTTAAATCGACCGATTTTAGATTGCCGCGCATACCCCTTCATGCAATTCCGTGTACCCCAGGGGTACTCGTACCACTAATTGGGAACCATCGATCTAGACTGCTGGGGCCTTGTTTCTCAGTCTGCCTGATCACCCAAAATCATCTGTTTGAACTTTTTTCTTTGCAGGCACATGCTACAAAAGTGCCAAACACGAAGTCACACACACAAAAATTGTAGATGACATTAATGGCGTGACTTTTAACGTGCCAGACTAGATATTTTATAGTCTGCTTCGACGGTAAAAGGCAATGTAACACATGTACAATCTGCCAAAATGATGCCTCCCAGGAGGCTTTCTGTGGAAAAGTGGCCACTATTTAGGTGTTAAACACGCGAAGAAAACACGGAAAACTCCAGGTGCCCAACCCGATGGTCAGACTCTAACCAGCGACCAATTAAGTATTCATCCACTGGCAGGCCACTTTATATATGTCATTACGTATGTACTAATTACAATTATCAGATACCGAGAAAGCAAATATTGAAAAGAAAAGTGTTACAAATCTTTTGATGGACTGCAAATATGTCAATATAAATTGGTCAGGTTAGACCATGTGACTATGGAGCTAATCAAGCTGTTTTCAAAAGTACGATTTTAGAATGTTGCATGTGTATTTACATACATATATTCTTTTATTATAATTCTACTTACGGGATATAAATAAAATACCAAAACAAGTAAGAACAGCACAAAAGTGACAGCGAAGATAGCGAAGTCCAACATTTCGTCTGCGTGGACTGTCGACAACGCCCTCTAACTAAAATTTAATTATTTAACTTTAAAATTAAGATATATATATATAACTGTAACAAAATAAATTATTATTATTTTCTTTTTAGAAATTTTAAATAAAAATTACTGTAATTCATTTTATTTTGAGATTCGACTTTCGTTTTCCTTCCACGAAAAATAGTACAGCAAAGCGTCGAAAATATGGACTAATCGGGACGGATCCCGTCCGGAATTTGAAATATATGTGTAAATTAACATTTTAAGTTCCATAAACTCCAAATGTACTGTAATTTATACGTTCTATATTCAAGCCAGAACAAAGATGTATAATTTACAGAATCATCATACTTAAATAATACACGATTCGTGACTTCAAAATTAAAGTTACGAATTCCGAATCAATGTTAGAACATTGAGGTTTTTTTTTTTAAATTCCGTCCTGTGATTGCTAAGAGGGCCTTTTTTTAGCAAGCCCACAATGGAGAGGCAGAGAGGTGAATGACGGACCATTCCTCGAAAAATTTCTGAGACTTTTTGACCGGGAGAATTCGATCCCGCAGTGGCGTAGCGAATCTAACTGGCGCCTGGAGCACGACACTTTATTGACACCCCCGTGAGGAAAGCCTCAAGGGGGCGTCACGGGGGATGTCTTTTCGCACTCGTGAGGCTTTCCTCACGAGTGCGAAAAGACATCGTTCGGGGAGATGGCGAAACAAACTTCTATCGGAAAGACCGTATAAAAGGTATTTTGACGGATAAAAATTCGGGTACCATCACAGTGTGTAAAAAGTTATCGAAATGTAGTAGTAATAATACAATGCAAATATTACAAAAGCCAAAGTTTTGCTGTTATACAATACAGAAAGTGCTGGGTACAGTACGCGTCTGAACACCTTCCACAGTAAACGGACTTAACGAATGCGGTAGTAGAACGTCCGTATTTGAAAAAGCGTGTTAACGTAGTTTGGTGCCGAAAACTGAGACGACATAAAAACAGAAAAATCATGTTCGTCGGCATTTTCCTGTCGAAATATTTCTTTAGTGTGTTGGCCACGATACTTGGAATTTTTGTTCTTTTCTTGTCAGTGTAATTTAGGAAGAAGGCTGGATGCCTTCTCGCTAAATTACGGTGACAAACCCGAGTCATAGGAAGGCCATTTATCTGTATGTTCATTGAAAGATCGAAAATATTAAGGAAAATTATGATCATTTTTGTTTTAAATGAATTTTTACTGTATGCCAATTTGTCTAACAAAGATCGTCAATCTTAAAATGACCTTATACAAATTCTCAGCCTAAGACACTAACTTAAACCTATTTTATACACTGCATTTGTCATTTTGAATACTCCTATGTAAAAACCGTTTCTTAAATTCAAGTCTTCATAACTAAGACAACGTAAAACTATTCATGTGGGCATATTCATAAAGCATATGCGAATACAGTACTTTTGTATCATATATGACAAATGTTTTTAAAATGCTTTGCTTGTTGCTATCAGTTCAGTCTATTATAGAACCACAAATTTATAAAATATTCCTTACAACGGACCTGGACCCAAACTATCCCTAGGAAAAGTTGAAATATCAGAATGTTGCCAGTCTGAACTGTTTATTCCATTTTAAAAATCAGTTTACTGTTACTTCATGTGCACAATATCTGTAACTCAAAATCTACCCAAGTCTTAATAATTCATCCAATTCATTCTTTAATATCTTCTTGCAGTCTCTGTCATCTTGTGTTCTAAAACTTATTTTATGTATGTCACTGAATACTCATATAAAAACTGTTTTAAAGAATTTGGGTCTTCATAACTAAGAAAATAAAACAGTACTCATCACACGGTCACGATTCGTAAAGCATATGCAAATACTTTTATTTCTGAGTTGCAAACTATTTTAGGTGATGCCAGAATTTTCCAATACATCGAGATTGCCGAAATTGCCAACTACAAAACAATTATTTTAATTAAAAGACACATCTATCGTTCGGTGCTCACGATTCCGATTAGAGCCAAACCCACATTTGCAGTTAAAATATCTTATCGGCAACAATGTGATTTTCTATATCTCGTTAGCGTGTATTATGCTCATTACCGCATGCAGTTATTTTATAAAATAGCCATTATCTACAATAACTTTATGTTCTATTGTCAAAACTATTTACAGGAATGTCGTTTTAGTCCAACACCTTCTGCATAAGACAACGATGACTTAAACTGCACGTCTTTCTTGATATAAAGTTTTCCTTTGTGTAAACCATCAAACATTTGCTAGAGTAGTATATTAATTAAAGATAATAGAGGAATCCCAGAATTCAACCTATTCAATTGTCAAATATAATGATTTCATGTGCAACTTTTTGTACTTCTATATTACACAATTACATGGAATATTACTAACAATTTTCCTATTTAATTTCATATACATAATTAAATAATATTTGTTTAATAGTATTCCATTAAAATATGCAGCTATAAAATGTACTGAAAGTAAGAGTAATGAAGTTTTCTCATAAAACAACTGCATTTATCATCCCAGAAAAATACTTGTTAAAATAGTTTAATATAAGGAGATAAAATATAAAAGGTAAACACTACCAAATGATGTAAATTAATTATTTATAGCAGGATCATATGACAGAATAAATGAAATTGTAGGACAGCAAATCAATAGATTTTAATCCAATATGATGGACTGGCCAGATGGCAAGGCAGTTAAGGCATAGTCCTAGTGCCCTGTGGGATCTGGAATTAAATCTGAGCCATCAAAACCCTCAGGAATTTTTCAGTGCCAGTCCACCCTGAAAACACAGAACCCATCCCTCACCATCTGACTGAATCCACAATAAGCTCAAAAGGGACATAGTGCCCATGGGGTAGAAAGAGAAAGAAAAAAAAAAAAAAAAACAATCTGATTCAATGGAAGTTCAAACTGAATTCAGTTCATAAAATATCGAACAATAAATTTTAAAGAACTTCAGTACAATCCACTTTCCATTCCTTTAAGTAATTGTATTAGTTACACCAGAATCTATAATCTAAACTTTGCAAATAGTTGGACCTTTGACAATAAGCGATATCACAAGAACTAGTTAGTGCACACCATCTACAATTAACTAAATTGACACTCAATTTGCAAAGTGAGTCGAAACTATACAAAACCACCAAATCCAAATTGGAGAAACATTCCAAGAAATTGGATTTGATGTCTGTTAATTTTATATATTTCTACTTCGTAACATCTATAAATACTGCTGTTTATTATAAAAAATCTGAGCATCTCAACCTCAAATATATTATAACATGTATAAAGTTTTTAATAAATTATTTCATAATTTATTCTAGAAGTTTCACAACTAACAAGAAGAGAAATTTTTCTACAACAATGAATAATAGAAAAAAAAAAAGTATAGTAAAATAGTTTTGATAGCATTTTTTGTTTCCTAAACCCGAATTAAATGTCTCAAAAATTAATCATTTGCATCGATTCGCAGGAATATGTCTTGGAAATTTTATAAATGATGCAAAATTTTAGATGAGACTCGTAACATCATGTATACTTAGTTATAGAACTACAGCCTCTTTCTTCTTGCAATAATTGAAATATTGTTCCCTAGATAGTAAACAACAATACGATTAATTTAATCAATCATAATTAACAAAACAACAAAAAAAAAGCAGACTAGCTATAGCTATTACTGGCAAAAGAAATTAATTATTGGGCCCATAAAGAACATTACAGAGTTCAGTTCGAGCAAATCGGATTTCTAGTAACTGCATTTGTGAGGCAGAAACTGCATGCACGGCACAACAAACATGAAATAATAAACAAAACGCAGTAATTAAGTGTATATTTATATATATATATTTTTTTCCTTTTTTTAATCATAAAAAGCTACTATTGCATACAATTTTTGCTCAAAATAAATTAAAAATTTCAAGACTCCCCCCAGTTAAATTATTACACACGGATACAACCTTTGGAAACTGGAATATATTTCTAAATATATCCATTTAAATTATTCTAGTTAACAGCAATTTAAAAGTTAGTTCAAAGATTAATGTAAACATGGAATAATTTTTTTTGTATCGACATTGTCTGTGATTCCAGATTTCTGATACTGGTGCACTTACACAAGACACAATCTTTACATCACATGTTTTTAAAATGACCGCATTTCTTTTAGTACAAGAGACTAGATTATTATTTTTTTTTTTTACAGAAAAACGTGACATACTGATAGTAAAAGTTAACTATTCTTGTTTAATAATTAATTATTTTACGATGTTTTGATTAAATTTTTACCAAAAATAATAAATTTACTTTCATTTTTTTATCTTTACAATAATGTATTCGTGAAATATTGGCCGATTATTCGATGGAATGGAGGCAAATGTGATGAATTATGATTTTAAAAAAAAGTACAAATACTGTCGATGGTTTAAACAATGGTTACTGCAAACACTGTACAAGTTATGTTTAAGAGAATCATAAATTCAAAATTTGTTTCCTTTTTTTGTTTTCTTATTTATGTCATTTTGTATTTTTAATGCAAGTTAGCACAATAAATCAGTTGTTTACAATTATTATATTCTACGACAAAGAAAAGGGGGCTTTCAAATAATGGTCAACCTTCGTAAAATAAGCATAGTCCAAATGCTGCGAAACCTGAGCGATTTTTCTGGTCCATTTTTTTTTTAAATTGACTAAATGTTACAATTATATGTAAATCTGATTTGTAAAAATGCCTGAGAGCCCGAGTAACATAACTAGACAGTTTTTGTTCTATGCATTACAGAGTGACACTCTGGCTTTACATCAAACTTGGTACTGCAAAAATAGAAGTGGAGAGGAAATATTCTGGAGTAAATTATTAACTAATGTGCAACCTTGTAATTACAAAAAAAAAAAACCTTTGCAAATGGGTGAACATAGAGAATGTTATCATCATAATACTTGTTATACAAATATTTTTGTCAAATGATAAAATGCAGATACCAATCAATTTTTTTTTGCAAGTATAAAATACACGTCAAAGTGTCTATTTTGAATTGATAGCTGAGGGATAAGGATTCTATTCAACCAAGTTTTGATGGTTTCCATTTTCAAACAAGTGGCAATTATACATTCACAAAGGCAAGTGGGCCACTGGAAGATGGAATGTCCTTTTTTGGAACATGCTAATCAAACAGATCTCAAGATTTTCTGCGTGTTCTATTATTGCAGTTTCCGTCTGCATTACAGCTGCTACTGCTGCTGGCAGCACTGCTGTCATCACTACGGATATCTTTCACCTTAAATGAAAAGAACAATAATAATTAAATTTAAGATATATTTAAGTTCACGATTACATGGAAAACAAATTCAAATAAGTAAAAATTGTAAACCTGTTTCGAGGAGATTGCTTGAAGAGCAACTCGAATGATCATCCAGGTCCACACTATGTGAAGCACTTGCAGGGCACACAATAATCCATTAAAAATGTAATAAGCAGGAAACATTGCAGTACATGTGACAGCTTCAAAAGCTGTACTATATATTACCCTGGATAATTTAAAAATTATTATAAAACTTTTACTATATTATTTACAGTGATTGACTTGATATAGACTGGTGTTTGATAATCCAAATATTCTATCTTCAACCAAATAAATATTCCAGTTTGCATTTTGTTAAAAAATTACAGAATAAAATCTAACGTTTACAAAAAAAACTTGTTTTTTCTAATATAGGAGTCAACAAATTCTACATGATACTTCATATCTTTGTGATAAGTATACACGGTCTTTCGAAAACAATGATACCATTTTAAATTATTGTAACTAAGTTAATTATTACCCAAGATGTATGCATTGTACACCAATTGATAGAGTAACTGAGTTTCACCTACCATCTTCATTCAAATGTCTTTTTGTCTATTACCCATAGGAAGTTCTGTAAGCAAAAATGATGACCCCACAACAAAAAATTTGTTTTTCATTCTTCAATCTGCAAACTCAGAATCAGTCATCATTGTGTAGTGAGAATGTTTGCCAAGTAAGGCAATCATTCATAGTGAATCACTTTGAAATTCTCTGCGAAACTCATTAAACATGGATGACTAATTAAAGTCATGTAGTAGTAATCACAGTTTTTTCACACTTATTCTTAAAGAAGATTGGAAAAATCTAAATATGGTAAGCATTGAGACCATTGAACGGATCTGTCAATTCATCCATATTTTTTACATTTAATATCTCATTTTCATTTCTGAGAACACATAGTTATGTATCTCTTTAATCACAGACATTACAGAATCTGTGAGATAAGATATGCCAGGAAGCTACAGCTGTGATTCAAAATGTGTCAAATATGAGATACCCCATATCATTTGTGCATGCCATATTGAATGTTTTTCAAGATAAATTTCATGTGCAAAATGTGATTATTCGTAGTTTCTATACAGTAAAAGTTTATCAATTTACATCTGAAATCTAAAAATGATGATGTACTTTTAATTTGTGTACATCTTGTACTTATTAACATTTCTGTATTGTCTCAAAACTTCTTGAAATTCCACTTAATTCAAAAAAGCCAGGCTTTAACAGATTTTCATATTAACTCTAATTTTAAAATAGAGTAGTAATAAACTATTTGAAGTTATTAATTCCATTCTAGAATCTAAACTTTATATATTAAATTACTTATTTAATGTATGGGTTATTATGTTTCATCAGAAATATATGTAAATTTCAAAATTAACATTTAAGTCTGAGAGAAAAACGATATGAAGTGATATAAAAGAAATATAATTTTTATAAAATTTATATTCACATTGTTTTGGGAGGTAGTCTAACAATGAAACATATGAAAACTGATGCAAAAAAGTAAATACATTTTTATATCACCTTACTGAAAATCTTATGGTAATGAACCTAAAAATAGATATTCATTGTACACACATTGTAAATTCTGTACTGTACAATAAATTTACTGTTCAAGTATAGCAGTGTGTAGATTTTAAACATTGTGAGGTAGCAAGAGAGAAATTTCAACTTAGTTACATTTAGTTAGTTACATTATTTATTTCCCATTTTGTTTCAGTCATTTTGAGTTTTGGGTTTGACTTATGTTAAACCTCAACTGTTAGCTCGACACTTCCTAATTAGACCTTCATTTGCATAATAATAAGATTTGAATAATGGGTGAAAGTGCATCACAGTGATCCCATTAATTTGGGGTAAATATAATGACTAAAATATTATATAATAATCTACTTATAATATTGTAACTACAAATGTTGATGGAAACACATCGACTGCTCAGAGCAAGAGGGTTACAACTCAAAATTTTCGATATTTTAGTTATTGTACTTATGGGAATGCTTGTATCGAGTTCTATCTTATGTATAAAGGTTATATCTCTAAATGGCTTATTATGGCTCTGGGATGTACATATAACAGTTTTGCAATATGCTAATACACTCTGTTATTGAATTCAAGAGGGTTACATTTCGAGTTGTAACAGTTTTCAGCTTTCAATTAATTGCATTCTTGGTGAAAGAAAGTTGCATATAAAGTTGCAACTCTTTTGCATTCTAAATCTGTCTATCTATATAACCACATTTGTTCACTCATCAACTCATTTGTTCACTCACCAACAAAGGTGAGTGAACAAATGAGAAGAAAATGTCATTCTGTTTTCTGGAAACTGGGAGATATAACACGACAAAGAGAATTTGTGGCAAGAAATATTGTTGTAGTTGAACCAAAATACAGATATGTTAAACAACATACTACTAAGCAACGCTCAAAAAACTTTGTTTATTATTTGGAAACTGATGGCGAAAAGGTTAGTGTGTAAACATATGTTTCTTTCTACATTAAGTGTCAGCCATAAATTTGTGTCTACTACATGGGCCACTGATGGAATAATAGAAGATGACTTCCGGGGAAAACATGAAAGCAGAAAGAAAAGTGACGAGGAAATACTGAAGAATGTGAAAGAACACATACTGTCTTTTGAACGTGTTGAATCACACTATTGTAGAAGAAATTCAACCAAACAGTATTTAGATGGCAGCTTATACATTAGTGAAATGTATCGGCTATACACAGACTATTGCAGAGAAAAAGAATTACCACTTGCTAAAAAACACATTTACTCAACGGTATTTCATTCACTTAATCTTTCATTTCATCAGCCGAAAAAAGATCAGTGTTGTAATATATGTACTGGATATAAAAACAGTACAGATACAGAGAAATTACAATTGCAGGACAATTATAACACACATATAAAAGAAAAAGAAATGTCAAGAGCTGAAAAGACTAAGGACATTGAAGCAGCAAAACAGGATACAAATAAAATTGCTTGCTGCTTTGATCTCCAAGCAGTTCTCCCTTCACCTTGTGGTGAGTGTTCTTCCTTATACTACAAAAGGAAACTCTCATGTTACAACTTTACAATTTATGATATTTCAAACAGTAAGGGCCACTGTTATTTTTGGCATGAAGGCTTGGCCAAACGAGGTTCAAATGAAATTGAACATGCCTCTATAAGTTCATTACTTCATTGCCCAATACAGTTAATGAAGTAGTTTTGTTTTCAGATAATTGTGCAGGGCAGAACAAGAATAAATTCATTGCTTCATTACTTTTATACTGTGTAAATAATATAGACCATATTAACACTATTACTCACAAATTTCTCATTCAAGGGCACACACAGAATGAGAATGATTCAATGCATTCCACCATTGAGCGTGAAAAACGAAGAGTTGTTAAAGGTGGGACAATAACACTACCTGCTCAATGGGTACCAGTACTGAAATTAGCCAAGAAAAAAGGCAGCGTTTATAATGTGACTGAACTAGATACAGCAGATATCTTCAATTTGAAAGACTTATCACAACAAATGGGAAACAATTTCTCCAAAAATGAAAATAATAATTTAGTGAATTGGCCCAATATTAAGATCATTAAGGTCATGAAACAAGATCCTTATACCATCTTCTACAAGCACTCATATGCGCAAGAGGATTTTGAAAAGTTAAACATTCGACAAAGAATGAGAGGTAGATCTGCCAAAGTCATGCTGCACCCAGCTTATTCTTCACCACCAGGGATAGATGCTGGAAAGAAGAAAGATTTGCTGGACTTGTGTAAAAGTGGTGTCATTCCAAGCATGCATGCATCATTTTATAATTCTCTGAAAGTTTCCAGTAGTGTTGAAAAAGACTGATCTCTAATTTGCTTGATAAAACCATAGCACAATTAGTGATACTTTTTTAATGGCTGTGTTAATTTTTTGTGAACTTTCTTACTTTTGTTTTTATTGTTTGTCATGTTTGAACAACATGGGTCTCATAAAACCAGAATGTAACATTACATTTTTCTGTTCTGTTAAAATAAATACTGTAACTTTATATAAAATGTATATTATTATGTAATGGCAAACAGCTGTTCTAAGTAAAAAAGAATGGCAAACAGTTGTAACTGAGAAAACAATAATGACATTTTGAATGCAAAACTGTTGCAACTCAAAAAATATGTAATAATATAACAGAGAAAATACATTTAAATAATATTATTATTCCAACTCAATGTAATGACTATAATTAACATTCAATCCAAATTCCATTGATTTTAAACAATTCCCTGATTTATCAGCTGGAATTGAAAACTTCAAATGGCTCTCCTGAAAAATATATATTTTTGAGTTGTAACTCTCTTGTTCTGAGCAGTTGACATGTTAAGCAGCATCTTACTTTTTGTCAGCAATATATAAAGAACATTTTCAAAATGACACAAAGCTAATCTTCACTTTTGCTGGTCAGCATGCAGCATGATTGTAAGTGATTGGTTTCGATTAGGTTCTTTTTCCTAACTGAGTTAATTGTTTGATATTTTGACAAATTGCAAATTTTACTAATAATCAATTTTCTTGTAATTACTAAATTAAAATCTGTAACATTGAGTTTTATACAAAGTGTTGTAATAAGTTTTCTGCTTTGTAGTCAGAAAGTTCAACACTGACATTTTCAGTTTATTAAATTGGTGGCAGTTTTAAGTTCACTCAACATAAACTAAAAGTTTGCTGGATTATTGGAGTCCACAACTGTATCCAATGAATCACTTGGAATGAAAATGCTGTAGCTTCTTGTAGCAATAGCACGAGGCACTATCAACAAAACACAATTCTTTTGGCACATTTTGTCATTCAAGAACCTTGAATAGCAAAATGTGATAAACCTTGAAGAAAAACACTGGTATATGATAGAGTGTACTAGACAATCATTGAAAACAGAAACAATAAAGGTGATTAATGGTAAGCTTTGCCTTGCTGATTATTTTGTTGCCACAGGAAATTCTGTTTAAGAGGCAGTTTTGCATTTACAGTATATAGTACATACTGTATTACTGTTCTGTAAACATGGTCTAAACCATGTTTGCAGAACATATGGCCATTTATAAGAGTTTGTTTTGCATTATGGTACATAAGAGGATGGTCATTGATCAAGCAGAGATAACCTTCTGAAATGGGATCAAATTACATTATTCATAAGCAGGTTGTGCAGAGGGGATAATGAAACAAGAACAAACAATTACGAAAAAGTTAATGTATCAAATACAAAATTGCAAACTGGTGATTTAAGTGCTATAAAGTAAACTTTTTGAACATTCAAACTAATTTTAGTTCCAATGCATCTATAATATTAAGTAAATCACTGTTAATTTTATTTTTATAACAACTCAATATAAGAAGACAATACCTATATGGGTATAGTCCCAACCTAGATACTATCCATGCTAATGTGAAAACTACAAACAACATGTCACCAAGGCGTTGTTTATGAATATACTTTGCCATTTTTGCTGCCTATAATAATAATAAATGTTGTTTTATTTATTTAATACCCAGAAAAATAATAAATTGTTGAAAATAAACAAACAGACAGACCTCTAAGGGACAATCTGCAAAGTCGTGAACAATTAAAACAATAGTTCCGATACGTGTAAGATTACTCGACCAAGAAAATACCAACAAAAGAATGGTAACAATATGATGAACAAACATCTGTGCAAAATCCTATAACGAGATTATAAACAAATTCAGTTCGCACAATTAAAATGAACATAATATAAATTCTGTAATAGAAAATATCTTCCAATTACTTTTCTTTTAATATCCATAAATTGAGAAAATGTCAATGACGTATAAAATCCTAATTCAACCATATAATACCACCAAACATCGCTTGTCATGGACTGTTCAAAAGAAAGAAAATCCAATTACACATTCTAAAAAAATCTCATTTTTTAAATAATTAAATTATACATACATGATGAGGATAGTCATACCAACAATGTTTTGTATCCCATAGCCACGGCTTCTGTAAAAGAATTGATCACAATTAAACATAAAATTACAAAAAGAACATTAGAAATTTTCTAAATTTTACACAGATAAACAAAACCAGAACAGAAAAAACTGTTTAGTCAAACTACATTAAAAAAAACTAACGTGTAAACAAAGAGTGACCTCAATTTCTTCATACACTAAATTTAGAGTTTCTAGATTCTAGGGGAAAAAAAATCTGTTGAATACTTGGAACTGGCTCCATGTACTGTACCTTTTTTTATGCAGTGATAATTAAAATGAAACAAAATACAACTGACCAAACTTAATTTTCATCAATTTTTTTTTAGATAATTATTAATTTTATAGACTCAGAAAGTAATGAAAAATTCTAAACATTCATTAATTTTATATATTTTTATTTATTGATTAAAAATGTATTGAGTTAAAATAAAACTGTGGTCTAAAAGTATCACCTAGATTATTGTCAATATATTTTGTATATATCTGTTTGGTAAATTTAAAATTATTTTATATGCAATCACCATTCTACATTAAACTTATGCTTTTAAAATACATCAAAAAATCTTTATTAACATTTTAAATATAGAATATATTTATAGTCAACATTACCTCGTCAATCCAAAGCAGACTAAATTATGTCTTCTATGTGACCATAAAATTGCTATAACAGACTTATCGTACGGCAAATGGTGAAATGGCGTAAAAATAAACTTTAATCAAACAAAACACTAAATTATGTTTTATATTGCGTCACAAAATGAAATCCTTAAAATATTTGAAAATTAAATTTCCATCCTAATTTTTAAATTTAGAAATATATTTTATAACTTTATCCAAAAATGATTTAAAAATTAAATCAGTGGAAACGAGCAAGGATATTTACCAATTGATTTTGTCATTGATTCTTTTATGATAAACGAGTAATGCTCATTAAAAAAAAATCAACAATCAATTGTTTTTAGTTATTAATTAAAGTGATAGAATATTGTAAAAAAGGGAAGGCACTGAGGTCGGCGTTATGTGTGCGTTTTTTATTCGCTAGTACTTTCGACGAACATATAGCCGTCGTCATCAGGCGAATTATCGAAAGAATTAAACGGAAATAATCCGATTTGGACCCCTTTTTTACAATATAATATTTTGGCGTGATCGTCAGCAAATTGATCATTAAGTGATAGAAGCATATTTCATTTTAAAAGGGCAAAAATCAGCTATTCACTTATTATAAATTGCATTAAAATTTACAAGTCAGTAAAAATAATTAAGCAAAAAAAAATTCTAGAAAATTAACACAGTTAAAATAATAATTATAAAATTGTCCTCAAAGTACTTTTGTGTTAAAAATTAATATTTAAATTATATTACACAGCAATTTCCCAATAATATATTACAGTAGAGCATCGATTATCTGACCCCCAATTAACCGTCACCTTGGTTAAACAACCATTCTAGTAGGCAAATTTCAAATGTCCGCTAGTGATGTGGCACTACAATATTTGGCTATGTCTTGACTACTTTAATATTATTTTTGTTAAATTTTTGCATGTTTTAGCTGGCAACATCAGCTCGACCATAGAAGGGAGGTCAGTATTTAAACAAGACTTAATTTTCTAATTATGAGTGGTTGTTTGTTTTGTGAGCAATAAAATAATTTAAAAATAATTTTTAACGATACAATAGCAACAATTATTATTTTTAAAAAAATTTGTTAGGCTTAACATTGATGAAAATTCAATGCAAAGTTAGTTAATAGCGATATACTAATATACTAATTACATGGGATATACTAATATACTATACTAATAATGTATTTTTTTTTTCATTCTTTTCGGTTATCCGATTTTTTCAGTTATCCGACCAACCTGAGTCCCCAATTGAGTCGGATAATCGATGCTCTACTGTATTTACAAGTTGCAATTTAAAACTTGAATTTTTATAAAATATCAGAGATCTGTTGACAGATTGCTACCCAATTTGATAGCATTTACTTCTGAATAGCAGCAAAAACAAAAATCAAGGAAATGTAATGCAATTCTTTTTTGCGTTTACATCTGGCAGCAATCGAATATTTGATGACAAAATCTTACACTAATCAAACACTTGTGATTTACAGTTTATGCAATTTTATCAAGATATATTAAGTATATTATACTTTAAATTTAAATAACATTTTTATACATATTTTTGGTCTTGAAATTATACATTTACATAATCAAAAAATAACTGCAAATCACCAATGCAAAAGTGCTTTGTAATATATCTTGATAAAATTGCATAAACTGTAAATCACAAGTGTTTGATTAGTGTAAGATTTTGTCATCAAATATTCGATTGCTGCCAAATGTAAACGCAAAAAAAAATTGCATTTTAAGATTGCTTTAAGTTTGTCTTTTACTGTCATTTTATTTATTAACTCTAACATTATCTGAAATGACAAAATAAAAAGCCATCAATTAACAATGTCACAGTACATTTTTGTGAAGAGATGCAATTAATATGTAATATAGCAGGGGTGGGCAAGTAAAAGTTCAGTGGGAGCCGAAATGTGTTTTGCAAAATGCATGGGAGCCGCAGTTATGTACTTTTTTATTCTGTACCGCAATTTTATTATATAATATAAATATAGTCGACCCCCTATAACACTGTTGATTATTCCATTTTATATGAATTCCATGTTGTACAAGTCACTTAGATTTTACAAATACACCAGGCTGTGAACGTTTCACATATTTGTAAAATCTAAGTGACTTGTACAACATGGAATTCATATAAAACGGAATAATCAACAGTGTTATAGGGGGGGGGGGTCAACTGTATAATATAAAACAAATATTGAATTTTTTAATAAACATATTTTTGCAAAATTGTGAAAATAAAATTGTAAAAATAATAATAAAAAGCAGAAATTAACACTTTCAGCAAGAGCCGCATTTGCCCATGTCTATAATATAGAGTCAGTAAACCAAACAAGTATTAATTTTCTATATTTCAAATTTAAAAGTTTCTTCAATAAGGAATTTTTTGATTCGTAGTTTTAAATTCTTTATATTAAATACTTTTCACCATATTAAATTTACTACACTTGAAACAGAACAACTTACAATTTACAACTTGAAACAGAACAAAAGTAACATTATTTCATAGCAGTTATATTTTTGTATTATTTAAAATAATAATAATAATATTATTATTTTAAATAATACAAAAATATAACTGCTATGAAATAATGTTACTTTTGTTCTGTTTCAAGTTGTAAATTGTAAGTTGTTCTGTTTCAAGTGTAGTAAATTTAATATGGTGAAAAGTATTTAATATAAAGAATTTAAAACTACGAATCAAAAAATTCCTTATTGAAGAAACTTTTAAATTTGAAATATAGAAAATTAATACTTGTTTGGTTTACTGACTCTATATTATAGACATGGGCAAATGCGGCTCTTGCTGANTTAATATTTATGAAGAATTAAAAATAATACATTTAAAATATTTTTAGAAGACATTCTACCAATACGAATTATCAGAGTTAAACTTTTAACATGAATGCATTCTACTCCACTTAAAACTATGTCGTGTGCTGTAGATGGCTGGAAATTGGACCAAAAATGTTCTGTTCTATAATAAACCCATTGTTAACCTCAAAGAAAGAAGTGTCTATCTTAATAAAAGATGGTGCCAAGATTTATTGATTTTTCTGATTAATTTACAGATGAAGCATTCAGAAAATTAAAACTTATAGCAAAAAGCATTCGTAAGTAAACTGATATATGGAGTTTTTTTGGTTAAAAAAATTCATTGACCCATATTTTTAGTATCAGACTTCTTTAATTAAAAAAAGTGAAAGTAACATCATGATAACATTTGTCGCAAATTTATTTAATACTCCATAAAAACTTAAGTTTGTAATTATTTTCGAAAGAAAGGCTTGGTTTTTTAATGAAAAAAATAATTAATACACATCTAAAGCAAATCAATTTATTTAAATAATCTGATAATTATAAATTAAATTTAAGCCTTCGATACTCTAAATGTATTTCTAAATTTGTTAGCCAATTAATACTGATGTTTTGGTTAGGACAGAGAACGCAAATCATTATTGACAATTCTCTAATGAGACAATATATAGATTATCGAGCTGAATTTCATATATTTATACTTAATAGCATATGAAATAAAGAGTTTTCCTTATTTTGCAAAACAATGGATACAAAAATAAATTTAAGTAATTTCACTTAATTTTCTAAGTAACTTTAAGTTTTTAGTTACTCCACTTTTAAATCGATTGCTATTGTTTCATCTTGTTACTTGTTCTCCAAACAATTCAACAATGAAGACAATGGTCTAAGTATTATCATTAGATAAAAGCATTAGATAAAAGCACGTTATATTGTAATTGTGAACAGAGTATTCGAAATTACTGCATGGTTTACTTTTCTGTAATCTTTTAACTGTTCCTTCAAGTGACTCTCCTTGGACAGATATTAGGAAATTACTCACTAATAATAAAAATGAAAGAAGTATTTTCTATGTTAGCAGTATTTTCAAAAATAAAAATCAGATTTTGGACATAAGATGACTACAGAGGATGGATTAAGGAAACTAATATTACTTATAAAGTTAAATAGATAAAAAAGTAGACAGTGAATAAGAAGACAATCTAAAATTGGATATTATTGGAATAACTGGAAAGTTAAGAAATGTTATTACAAATAATAAAAAAAATAACAGCATTTTATTCATATAATCATCAAGAGACAAACTCAGTTTGATGGTATTTGTTAAGCTTATTAAGGACTGTAAGATAGAAATTTGTATAATTAATAAATACACTGTCTTTCAGCATTAATTTAGTTTAATCTAAATGTACACAAGTGTTTTCCAATTGCAGTTGTGTACATTTTAAATTAAAATAAATCAGCGTCAAAAGACTGTGCATATTTATTAACTGTACTAATTTTGCATTGAGGGTTACCAAGTTTATTAGAAATCTATAAAATTCAAAAGGTAATAACT